AGCGTCTGAAAAACCACAAGGCATTAAATATACATATTCATGCAAATTGTCAGTTGACAGTCCGAGTACATCTTTAGGAACAGACATTTGCAAGGAATAAGATCCACTTCAACTCACACATTTGAGCTCTTAAGCTCTAACATGCCAGACAACGTGTCTGCTACAAGTCTACCACAATGTACTTTCAATATTCAAGCACTTTCACAAAAAAAAAAAAAAAAAAAAGTTATGTCTGGCCAGTGATTAAGACTGCATTGAGTAAGCAATCTTACTCGCTAGCAGTGAAATTTATAACGATACAAACTGGCAACAAGCTCCGCACATTAGACAAAAAAATGTTGTTGAGGGGATTATGTTCTCAGTCTACCCAGACCACTGGCTTGGGGAAAAAAATTCTAATAATTTCAACAATCGAGTGGTGCGGAGCTGAGACTATTAACCTTCCTCACACCCACGTTCTTACAAACCCTGATGCAAGACAGACATCTGAAGAGCATAATTCTTGAAGGTGCTGATTGCCTCTTATGTAGATCCACCCATTTCAGAGGACTGAAAGCACTCGTCGTGATGCTGATCTAAGCCCCTGGTGCTTTCTCATTACCTGAACTTTCATTTCTAGTTCTCGTATCTGATCTTCTTTCAGCTTTATGTCAATTGTTAGCTTCTTGCACTCTGTCTCCAGCTCTCGGATACGATTTCGTAAAGTTTCCGTACATTCTCCTCTGCAGAAAACACATTAAAACAGACGGTGGTAAAATGAGAATGAGGCTGTCAATCCTGAACTGTTTATAACATGAAAATTAATATAAGTATTGAAGGATAAAAAAGAGGAAGCTAACTTTGTTCTTTTCAGCAAGAGAATTTCCCTTATGGCAACAATGCAAAAAGCTGCAAAAAATTACCCAATGTTATGCCTCAAGCATTACGAAATTTGGAATATTTATGAAATATGGAGAACAGGAAAGCAGAAATAATTCTTTTTAGACATTTGGAGCACTGCAGATTAAAGTCATCCACACTGGTGCCATACTTTCATCTTGAAAAACTTCCCATCTATACACCTGTGTTACTACTGAAACACCACCGTGTTGAGCACTGGTAGCCATCGGCTAGAGCAGCGTACTTTCAAGATGTGAGATCAAGACAGTATTTTGGCCAACGTCGTTGCACGAATCCTTGATTCGCAGTCCCCACATGAAAGGGGACGTCCCTTTTTCTAAAGCAGGCTGACCCGTGCAGGGTACAACTCTCCGTTAGCACAATCAGGATACAGCAGATAATTTGGAGCATGTTCACCCCCGAGAGCCTGTAAATGTAATGTGTATGAGTACCGAGACTCAGCTTCATGGAAGGAGATCTCGCAGTCCTCCCACTGCCTAAACACAAATAAACCTCTTAACACAAACACAGCTTTTTTTTAAAAATCAAATACGGGCTACACCCTTACAGAAGGGTGAAAAATGCCTCCCCAGATCCCCCCAAAACCCATTTCAGTAATTTTCTGGAGCCAAGCTTGCTTCTGGGGTAGAACAAAGTACCTTGTAGCAGCAGCAAATGCGACAGCACGTGCAGCAGTTGCTTCTTCCAACTTCTTTCTTTTCTTTTCTTCCATTAATTGTTTTTCTACAAAGGCTCGTGCCTCCTGCTCTGCCTTTAGTTTCTTCTCCAACTGGCTGATCATTTGTTTGTCTTTTTGCTTCATTTGTACAGCATTATGTAATCTGGAAGGTAACAGGTATGGGATTTAATGGAGGATTTTACTTATTAAAAATAAATTGCTGTCAACGGTCCCACATGAGACTTGCTGGACTTGCAGACAAGTGCCTCAAATTTTGCAGTCTTAACATCGTACTTCCCCTTCAGCAGACTATAGCCACCAGCAACTAATTTACACAGCTGGGTAGAAACACATACTTGTTCTGAAGCAGTTCATTTTCCTGCCGGAGCTGTCCGATTTCAGATCGAATTCCCCGCTCTGTGTTAGTCAGAGAACTGATCTGACTGCGTAGCTCCTGCTCGATCTGCCTGCTTGCTTGCAGGTCAGCCTTTAACTTTTTAATATCTTGTTCCAACCTAAGAAAGACAATTTTAAAAGACAATTTCAACTTTATTTCCCAGATACCCAAAGGTTCAAGCACATTATATAAAAATAAGCAGAGTAAACATCATACCATCTGCCAACCCCCCAAAGCCTTGATCCTCAAAATAAACTCTCAGAATTATGTCTATCCTTGCTAAATAATAATAATGTTTTATGTAACTGTACATATATAGCTCTATGTATAGCTATACACACACTTCATAACCTCCCACAGGAATCTTGTTTTCCTCCATGCACTGCAGAGTTGTAAAACAAATCCTTTGGAATTGTATTTTCCCTCTTCAGGCAGCAGTGAAATGGATAAGTCTGAGAAGCCAGAAACAAGGACAGGTGCGCGTATGAACAAATTTTACTTTTCTCAACAAATTATGAGTTTCATTTGTTTGTTAGAGCTGAGCTATGGAGTATACTGCGGAATTCTCACCTAAACATTTTCTGTTGCTTTGTTTTTTTTTTTTTTTCCTTGAAGTACATCCTGTGCGTGTTGAATAAAGAGTACGTGGTAAGGCATCCACAGTTCAGGAGTCAGTAAATGTAGTTTTAATTGCTCCTGAACACAGACCATCTGCTATACACTTAATTGTAGCTTTAGACAGTTCTTGAAGACTCATGCAAGCTTATTAATTAAAATATTTTCAACCAAAATTGGTTAAATAAACCACAAATTTCTAGAGAGGCCCCCAGCTCACCTTAATTTTTTCCCTCATTTTCAAAATAAGATTATTGATTCTTAGCATAAAAGCACAGCACAGGTGAATAATCAACCTTTTTTTATGAGCACTGTTACATACTTATTTAAAGCAAATATGCCTCTCAGTCATTCACACATAACCCTCATTTGCTCCATCAGCTATCGATTTAAGTTTTTTAATGTTCATAAAGAAGATAAAGATATTTTTATTTCCTAAAGTTTCATACAGAATTAGTGGTAGTCAAACATTAAGACTTGGGGAAAATAGTCACAAAAGCCCAAAGGAACTGCCCTTACTGCCAGCCACTAGCCCAGATGAACGGTTACAGCCTTGTGTCCTCGTAATGAAAACACTTCCCTCTTTTGGGCTTCAGTGCAGGAAAATCTCAACCTAAAATGCCAGTGAGAGATGTAACCATGTGAGGGATAGGCACATCCTCTGGGAATGAATCAAGAGGTTGAATGTGGAATCATCAAACTTATGGAAATTCATAAAAGTACGAGTGTAATAGGCTAAAACTGCACCGAAGAGGTCTACTGGGTAAACGAACAGCCAGAAACAGCCTATAAAGGAGCATGGTCTGTAACACGCTCATAACACTCAAACGCTCAGATCCCACTTCCTACAGCTGTACTAAGCTGCCTTTCTAGTTATACTTGAACTGCCCTACTGCTAAGATGACTTCCTTTTAATATAGTATAAATTGTGGTCAAACTTACCTTTAAAAAGAAAAAAAAAAACCCACAACTTATACTTAGTAGGCAAATAGTAATAGTACAAAGCAAATACACGTTTCATATTGAAGACCACAAATCATTTCAACACCTTTTACTCCGTTGTAGGAGGGAAAGAATTTGCAAGCCTAACCAAATATTCATTCAACCATAGCACACAAACCAAAAATGGAAAACCCATCAGCAGATGTCATTAGGTATGTATTTTCACCGTGTTCAGTATGTTCAGTGATAGGGCTGGACAGTCGTTGGGCAATGATGTAACGGTTCAATTTAATCTTCCAATAAGCAGCAACTAAGTGTTTTAGAAAGAGCAAACTTATTAATTGAAGAGAGTCGGATGCTGTAGGAAGCATTAACAGACTGTTGTCTGCCAACAGCTGAGAGGTTCTACTATAGGTTTTCATAAATATGTGAAAAAACGGTTGGTAGGACAATGTAAAGGAATGCACATAAATCACACACACTTTACATTGACAAGTATCCATAAATAATTTCAACATACATCTCTACAATAACTGAAAATAAGACCTGTAAATAGCCTTTTCCCCATAATAAAACTATGTCAAACTTGCTCAAATAAGATACACCAGGATTTATTTTGGGTATTTAGTATTCCAGGAAAAGAAGCACTGATCAGGTAAAGCCCGATAAATCAGAGGTGCTAGCACAGGACAAGCTGAATTTGTATTTTTGGCAACAGAGTATTGACATTAGTTCAAACTTCTCAGGCCATCTGGTTCATGGCAAGGGCTTCCCTGTGCCGGTTTCTGAGGGCTCTGTCCCTGCCGCGCTCGTGGGGCTGGCCCAGCCTGCGCTGTAAGGAAAGACGAAAGCCGCGTGATCTGCAGAGTGCACGCAAACGTGACCAGAAAGGACGCCTGCTTTCCAAACCGGGAGGAAATATAGGAAGCCACAAGCCACAGCCTTCCTTGTTACTCAGCATAGGTAAAAGCATCCAACCAGAACTGCATACATCAGATTTGTGAGAACTGGGATCAGGAAGCGTTCCACACTCACGATACATCACTGAAACCCTGCCTGAACGCAGAGCCAAAGCCTCATGGATGTCCTTTCTGCCTTAACTTTTCAAGCATGCTCCAAGCGTCAAATATTCATCCTTTTACTCTGAAGGACCACGGGGGGCTTCGGGTAACTTTTACAGGGCAATGAGTTCATTGTGACTTTCACTGTAAATCACAAAGAAGCCAGGATTAAACTCAACAAGAATTGCTCAGACTCTGGGTGCTTTGGCTGTTTATGAAAAACGAGCAGCCGCACCACGACAACACGTCCAGACAGACCAGGCACCGACAGCGGCACCAACAGCAGCTGGCGCTGCTCGCCTGCAACCCTCGTTCACTAAATGCTGCAGAGGAGTTTCTTTTTCTCAGAAAATGCCCGCAGGTGTAAAGCGGGAGCTATATACCTTGTGCGTCCGTTAAAACACACAGACTCCCCAATTTACTAGCCACCACAAATGAGCTCACGATAGGCTCAGGAACGAAAGAGTGACAACGTCACCGGTTGGACTTACTCCAATCAAAGGATCCCAGTACTCCTGTACATCTGAATTTTTCAAGCCACCATGCAGTTACGAGTTTTTATTCTGTTGTGAGACAGTCGCTCCTACCAGTACAGATGACCTAACTTAAAGAGTTGAAAGACAGAATAACATACGTTCAACATGCTCAGTCTACACACAGTGAGCAACCAGCTATTGTAGTGCAATTCCAAAGGGGCAGAAGAGAATTAACACAGAGAAAACTCATCTCTTTCAAGTCAATGGACCATTGGAAATTTATCTGTCGATGGACTTGCTTAGAAATAAGTTTTAAAGTAAGGTTTTACTGGATTTTAATTACTCCTTTTCATTATGCTGTAGTTTTTGCTAGAGCTTTAAATACCAGAGCAGACATTTTCCGCAATTTATAGAGGAAATAAATGCTCCTTACTATCTAAAATTAGTTAGGAAGCTAATAATCCATCGTAATGCAAGGACCAAATGTTTCCCATACGGTTTCTCTCCCAGACCTGTCACAATTAGCTAGAGATACAACTTAATTAAAAAAAAAAAAAAAAAAAAGACATGAAGTTAGTTTTCCCTCAAAACCACACGTATTCTCTGGTGCGTAACTGTGTTCTTACCCATCCTATGAAGTCCAGTCAAACATTTTCCGCCTAAAAGTTTCCTCCTGCGGAACAGCAAGGCAAAGTTCTACTCTGTATACAGACAGAGAGGTCGTCCGTCATTTCCACAGAAATACAGGGAGATTAAACACACCCCTTCTGTTGCCTTTTCTAAAATGAAAGCACCTCATCAAGGTAAACCAACACAACGTCATGAAAGCAAGCCTCACCGCTATCAGCACAGACTAGCGCGTGGTTTTCCCTTCTCCCCTCCCTAGCAGTCTGTGCTACTGTTACAATGATAAATGACCCAATAAGACAGCACTTTATTATTATTATTATTATTATTCTTTCTACCATTTCATTTTCTGCTTAAGTCTCATTTCCAGGCTTACTGGAAAAGTTCTTTACTATTGCTGCACAAACTGCAAGTCATTTTGACACGCAACTATTTTTAAATTGTGCTGTTTATACAACTAAAGCCAATTTCTTTTGCTTTATCATTACTATAAATGCAGAATGTACCCATTTTCTTTTCTCAGCACTACCTCATACAAGTCCTGATCCCACTGATGAAGAGTAAGAGCAGTAATCACCTCCAAGACTGAGTGTTTTTCCAAATGCTTCAGGGAAGATTGATGGATCAACTCAAAGACAATTCAATTCAGCTTAATCCTTCTAAGTATTAATAACCGGTGAATAACATATCCTTGTCGCTTAATTTACTCAGTTAACACAATTCCATACTCACCTGGCAATTGCACACAAACACAATTTATGTAAAAATTAAAGTTTTAAAAGACCCAGAAGGCACTCAGATGCTTCTCTAAGAGACCCATTTTTCCCTTTGCTCTGTTCCGGCCCGATCTGTTGGCATCAGCATCCCCCGCAGTGAAAACTACTTCTTTGACGCAGCCAATGCGATCCCGCGGCACCGCAGTTCTCCTGCTGTAACTAATATGCTGTTACTAGCAGTTCCTCAGAGCATTTTTCATTACCAAAAAGACAGTAATCCACAGAGAGAAAGCGGAGTGAGTTAGTTTTCTCCTACACAGAATTGATCTGAGTAACTGGCATTTCAAAAGGTTATTCTCTTTCTGAACAGTCCAAGCACTATGTTGACAGTGGCTTGACAATGCTCTGCCAGAAGGATCATCTCCCAGATTTCTAATTTACATTCCCAATTCTTTTGCTTTTCCATTCTATGCCTTCCTTCACTCCCATCGTATTGCACGAAACACTGACTATCTCCCCACTGCAGCTAACAGCAGAAAGCCTTCTGGTGCGCTAACGCCGTTTCGGGCAGGGGGGTAAGGAAGAAGCAGCAATCGCTCTCAGGACACCAATGGTGCCGCAGAAGAGGTACAATAATCACCATCCAACGGGCAGAAATTCACATTAAAGCCTTCAAGTCTGTCTCTGCAGGTAACATCACATTTTAGGAAAGCAAAATAAGATGTGGTAGGCCAGCCCTTGCTTCACAAATATTTTTCTTACTCCAATTACCAGAAGATGTCATCGTTATCTCTGAGAATAATTAGTACATAAGACAGCTTGTTTCAACACCTCATGTGCCAAAGGCAAGACCTCTATGGATACAAACAGTTTTGCCAAGTTGCACTGCCAGGTTTTTGTGTGTGTATTTTTCTTTTTTTAAGGGGGCAAACAGCTAGAGGCAGGACATGATTATTACTATGTAATATACAATTAAAAAAAAAAAATCTGCAGCAATTACAGCTTGGACTTGTTCCATACATCAAGCCCCTAAAACATGAACAAAGCCTGCTGCACCTCAGAAGTGACAGTGAAACAATAACAAGAAGCCAGCTTCTCGTACCTCCTGAGACACAATATTAAGTGTAAAGGGCTGCCAAGTTTATCCCTCCACTGGCCACCGAACGTCCCCCTCCACTGGCCCAGTTACCATAGCGTTGGGAAATAAGCAGCTCAGATCAGAGACTCAATTAAGCGCTTGACAAACAAACAGCAGATTTCAGCATGCACCAGAAGCAGACATTCATTTCAATTGTAGGAACAAAAAAAACCTATGGCAGAGATTACTTTCAAGGCTGACCAGCAGGGACAGAGCCTCTCGAATCCCCCTGCTCTAGCTGTCGAGATGACAACAACATTACATTCACTGAAATACCTACAGATGGGGATCAGTAACCTCCTCTCCAAAAAACTAAACGCATATGCACTAACCATTTACCAGACAGAACAAAAATAAAAACCTACTGTTTCAAAGAAGAGCAATGTTGTATATACAAAATATAAACTTAATTACCAGTAGCCTTTGAGACACAAATGCCATATCAAGTATTTAAAAGAAAAAATTAACAAGCACGCAAGACTGTCTTGTTCTCAAACCCCCCAATCTTTACTGTCTCAAATAACCCCTGTTAATCCCGAGTCCCTAGCAGTCATAAGGCATACTTTACATTTAATACCGGTTAGTCAGCTCAGGGAAATAATTTGTGAACACAAAAGGAAAGCAGCTTGGTTTCGACATCCTGCTGTGAGTCTGCTGGACAAGAAGTTATAAAAAGCATCTTTATTTGGAAGCTGAGCAGATCTGATCTGAAAGTCAGACGCAAACGCAGGACTTCACACAGCCCTTTTCAGGGTACAGCACTGATGCAGACTAAAAAGCTTAATAACGGCAACGAGTAACACTACTGTAAGTGGAAAAGATGAACAAATGCCTTACGCTCCAGGGACAGGATAACTGACAAGTTAAAAAAAATAAACATGATTTTTTAAATTTAAGTGCATTCCATCCCATCCAGGATTGTCAGGTAAGTTTATGCTTCTATCGGTGTAGGAGTTACATACTCAATCTGAACTGGAACAAGATTTCATGAATGACTTCAGTCATCTACATTTGTAAGAAACTGCGAGCAGCGACACACGGGAAGCTGGTGTTTTAAGCGCCCTTCGTTTGCCTGCGCGGGGAAATCAGCGCACAATGAGCAGCTACGTGAATTTGTAGCACAACAGCCACGCCACATCGCATCCACGCACCACACAGAAACACTCAACAAACAAAAGGCTGAAGTAGCTTAATTCACTTTCAGGGCAGAGTAAGGCTACGTTACACAAAGGCACTTTCAGAGTACACTAATTGCGTACTCCGTCCCTGCCCAGTGAATTAGAGGAGCTGGAGTTGTGCAAGGGCACGGCCTAGTTAATTGCATACTCACTTCTGCATTAGAAAACCCGCTTTGGACACTTACAATGACCCCCTAGTCTAAGCTCACATCACGGCATATAAAAATTTCAATGTGTAATTTAAAACTTAAAACATACGAGGTTTAAATCTCGTTCCTTGTCATAGCTACATGGGACAAAAATGGGTCTGGCAGGTCATTCTACAGAGCGCTTCCCTTCTCTTTTCTCAGGACTTATAAACCACATTTTGAACGGCAGCAAAGCTGAGCTGACCTGCTCTCTTCTTCAGTGAGCAAAGCAGCCATGTAAAGAGGACAGAGATGCCCGTCTGACACTGGTAACATACAAACACAGCAGTCGCATACGTGTTCATTTAGATGCAGCTTTGCTGAAGACAGAGCCATCTGCATCCCATTAATCTTGGCTGAATTTGATTCAGATTAGATTGATTAGCTGGTTTCTTATTCGCTTCATACAAGTTCTCTACAGACATTAGGTATCAATTAGTCTGGATATGTAATTGGCAGAGGTACGCCAATCAGTGGCAGAGTGATTATCAGAGGAGAAAACAATATTTTCATTGAAGTAATTGTATTCACGTAGCACAAACCCTCAGAGACAGACCAGAATCAAAAGTCCAATTATCAAAAGGTACCTGCAGGGAAAGCGAACCCGACCTGCCAATGAAGTTAGCTAACGAGGATTTGTTGGCCAAAGAGCGTTCAGCACATGAGCAAAGGAAAAAGAGAGACAAAAGCCAGGAATGGTAGGAAAGTGCAAACTCTGCAACGCTGTTGTTCCAGCCATATCTCTATCCCCATTTTGAACAGTTACACATTACCTTTCTTGCAAGTACTGGGTTTGGTAACGTATGACAACACCCTGTGTCTCAGGACTTACATGCTGTAAGCGCTTAGCTGCCTTTCATAAATACATCTTTATTTAAACTTCAGATAAGCATGTGTGAAGATGTGACTTTTTCAATCTCCATAGTTTACAAGGCAGCTAAATTAAATCCCTGTGACCTGTACTTAAACCAAGGCGGCGGCAGCAGGTATCTGAACTGATCACTTTATCAGCTGCTGCATAACTCCTTACTTTGGATCCATACTTGTCAATTGAAGATTAAAACAAAAGCCAAACATTTCAAGGGGAAAAAAAAACAAACCAAAACAAAAAATTAAGACAAAACGCCTGTTCAAGCACCATCGAACCCCACTGAACTCCCTGGAGATGTAAAGGTCCCCCCACGGAAGATCTGTCACGAACACATCCACTGAGCTCTGCAATGATGCTCATGTGGACATTTCTCCCATGCCTCTATCACATGATTGTCAAAGCTATTTATTAAGCCTCACAACACCCCTGTGAGGTAGGTAAGTAAGTATCGCATACTGAGGTAGAAAGGAAGAAATTCGCTCAAGGTTGCATAGCAAACCAGAGGCAAAAATCAGGAACAGAACGCAAAAGGCTCCTAGTTATCTTACTGCATTACTAGACAATTCTGTCGGCTTTATGGGATCATAAATTACATTTTCCTAAGGAAAAAAAAAAAAAAAAAAAAGGCCGCCGGACCGGAAACAAAGGGGGATAAAAAGAGGCTGGTCAACAAACACGAAGCCAGAGGCAAAAATCAGGAACAGAACGCAAAAGGCTCCTAGTTATCTTACTGCATTACTAGACAATTCTGTCGGCTTTATGGGATCATAAATTACATTTTCCTAAGGAAAAAAAAAAAAAAAAAAGAGGTCTGCTGTACTGGAACGAAGGGAGGATAAGAGAGGCTGTTACACAATGCTCAGATCAAACTTACCTTACCAGTGCATCTGGTTTGCTTAGCTGGTTATTAGGAATACAATTTTCCATTAAGTCCTTATGTGTGCTGGGGCTCTTGCTAGCACACTTCTGTTTTTTCTCATTTTTAGCAGATGAGGAAGGGATGCTCCCGTTGGTTGCACTGTGACTGCGAGGCGAGGAGTTCACAACTCCGCTGACATTTTTGTAATTTTTGGACGAGGCAGTGCATGAGTCCTCTTTTAAGAGGTTTTCTGTACTTCCTACAAGATCATTATTTAATCTTTTACTATTGATATGGTTTTCCATATATTCAATTTCTTGTATTTTAGAGTCTACAGGTTGCAAAATATTGTTATTTATTCCAAGGTTGTGTTTCTTAGCATCCTTGTCCTTTTCTTTCCCTTTTTCTCTATATTCTAGCTCTGGCAACGTTGCAGATAATTTTTTATTGGCTGGAATGCCTCCATTGTGCTGCAAAAGTATTGAGGAATCCATATCAGATAATCCTTTGGCTGCTGCAATACCAAAAAAAACCAAACAACAACCTTAGTTCATTAAATCAATCAATACTGTGACATATGAAGAAAAACCATTAAGTACACATCAATCATTTCTGCAGAAAATCATCATTATGAGAGTCTATTTAGAAAAGACAATCAGAAGTCACATGGTATTTTAAGACTTTTTCCACATTACAGGCAGGAAACAGTAACCAAGGGATTTAGCAATAAATACTGGTGCTCCACAGAGCACCGACTGACGAGGTTGATGCAGTTGCTAATAAAGAACTAAACAGAGAGTACATAATTCATTTCTACTCTCATACTAATCACTGCCAGAATAATTTTATTTCTGGCTCCTCTGTTTCTAAGTTCACTATACTTTCATCAAAACAACATGAAGAATATGGACTAAAGAAGCTCTTCCTTAGCGGGCTTTTTTTTTTTTTTTTTTAAATAGCAGATAATAGCAAACACAGTAAACAATAAGTATAACTTGCCTTCCTCTGCCTCCCTCTCTTGCCTTTGTAGCATCTGCTGCTCTGGGGGCAGAGCTTGCTGGAGAAGCTGCATGTAGAACTCATTCTCTTTCTGCACTTCTTTTTGTTTTCTTAAACGCATTTTGTAGCTGACGTAACTTTTAAAGCCAAAGCCCAAAGTCACAACAGGGTAGCCAATACTAAGAAAAAAAAAGCAATGGTATTATTCAAAATGTAACCATAATAGCAAATTAATAAATTGTAATAAATTATATAGCTGTCAATACATCTGGATTACAACTTTTCATAGAAAATTATATATAAAACGTTTTTTGCTGCATTACAATAGAGCCACAGTTCAAAAACGTAGGCACTTCTTTATCAAGATAAAATTACAGTTCATTACAGACATCAATTAACTGTAGCCTAGATTAAAGGATTACGACAATGCAATTGCACTACGCATAGCAAAGACAGCCTTTAGACAAGCACCAGACCAGGAATTATGCATCTTTAAGGAGATAACAGCCAAATACAGCAGAAGTTCCCAAGTTCTGTTCCTAAAGGGCCACGCAATATATAAGATGTTAAACTGGGAGACGTGTTAACAACATTCATCCAGAACAGCGAAAGGAGAAACTGATCCTCAGCCCTATCCTTTCGCACTCAGAAATTAAGAGCAGACCCCTTTTCCACCACTCTTTAAAGCTGAGACAAAACAACGGTTCTCCAAAATACCGCCTCTGCAACAGGCCCTGCGATACCTTCTCACTGCAGCGCAGGCTGAGAAACAAGAGCTGGAGAAGCCGCTGGAACACAGAGCTTTGGGGCTACTGCATTCCTGGGGGCCACCAAGGCTGGGAGCCAAAGTGCCGTCACCCACAGCCGGTACAGCCAGAGGTGACCCTGGAGGTAAAGCCTCCGTAACCATCTGCCTCTGCTGAGCATGGCCGCAATTAAGGCATCTTTTGTGGGCAACAAACGGCCTTTGGAAATTCCTCCTTTAGAAGGCTGACCTTGAAGCTGTAAGCCAAAAACATCTAATCTCCAAACTTAGTTCTTCCACTTATCTTACTGACAGATAAGATATGAAGAATTTCAATTCCAGCCAAACTCTGCTGTTCCATTTGTCGAGAGGGATGACAGAGGCGTAACAGAACTTCGGAATTATTTTTCAGCATATCAGCTTCATCACGGAGAATTTAAGTATTCTTACTAGCTTGTGACAACTGCACCAATACAGAATGCTAGCAAACCATGCTAGTGTATTTATTAACAAGGATACTCCATCAATGAGCAACCATTCCTGTGTAAAAATAAATATATCTTTGACAAGTATTTTAACAAAGCACAGTGAAGTTGCATTTTAAACACTGAAGGTGTCCTAGATCAGGGGAAAACTCAGATGCAGATGACTATTAACCCTTAAAATCTTCTCATTCTTTGCTCAGTAATAGCACTGTGAAAATTGCATTTCTAAGTAAGCTGGCAGAATGCAAGAATCATTTGCATATGCATCTGACATTATCTCTGCCAATGCTTCTTTTGTAACACTGTGTAAAGCCAGCTGCAGCTTACAGTTCTAAAACTCTGATGACAAGCTGAAATGTTTGCATGCAATTCAGCAGCAGAAAGACCTTTCTTCACAGCTCCTAAAGTGCTTTTGTAACCTATTACAGAATTTAATTAGTGTTTAAGGGATTTATTGCATGATGTAGACAATATAAATTAAAATGAGAGATGTCTAACTTATTGGAGACTGTATCACAGGGAACTGGACCAAATGACTCCAGGAAAAACAGGACACATTTTAAATGTAGCGTGATCAATGCATACTACACCAAAAACTCGCAGAATAAAAGTGCATTTCTTCCAGATATGGATACTCAGCAGTTAAGTCTTTTGCCTGAAGTTACTCTTATCGCTTCCCAAGAAGTAGTGTAGTAAGTAGTGTTTGGTTTTTATTTTCTGTCACAATTTTCAACCCGAAGTTTATTTGCTTCCTCTGGTGACTTATGAAATCAGACGCTCATGAGAACCCTTCGCATTGGAGGGGAAAGAGAGGAGTGCTTTGTTACAGGAGAAAAAAGAAAATTTTCATAACAGGATACATAAGTTCTCAGGGAAAATACCTTTTTTTCCTACTTTTACCATCTATTCATTATGTAAATACAAAATTTGTAAATTGATGACAAGAACTTCCAAGATCCGTCAGGAATATCCATGCTACAAGTTCCCGACAGCTCACAAGCAGCGTTATCTTCAGAAAGGTGGCACTTGGCTGATGTTTAGCATACATTTCTCGTGGAATATTTAAGGACAGATGTGTGAGGGGAGAACTGAACAGACAAACCCTGAACCAAAATAAAATATTAATTAACCCTGAATATTAATTTCCCTGGTGAAATAAAGGTTAATAAGAAAAGCAGAAAAAACCACTTACCAGTGTGCTGCAAATGGACGACAAAGGTCTACATGGAAGTTTTTTAAATCTTTAAATCTAATGGCTGCTTCAATATAAACGAAAAGTATCCACAGTGATACTGTTGGTAAGCACACACCCCTCTCTATTGAGGGAAGAGAAAAAGAGAGAAACACCATAGTAATGTATTACAAGCAGCAAATATTTCAATATTCTTTTTAAAACATTCCAAAAGTCAAGGGAAATTTTCAGACATGTAGGGAATTGTAAGAGGGTTTTTTCAGAATCAAGTATCTAGGATGTCTTTATTTTAAACCAACTCTAAACTTTTGCCTCCTTATCTTGCTTTTTTACTTTTACAAGGCATCAGTGAAAAATAACAGATGCACAGCTAATGAAATAGCTTGGCACAAAACCCTACACAGAAAAGGAACACAAATGGAAGAAACTGCAGAAGATGAGGTAATGTTACAGCTTATGATCTTTGAGTCAGAAGTGGTAAGCTTGGACTACTTTTTCACTCCAAGTTAGGTATATCTTAGTAGCAGCAGCGAGCAAATCAGCTGAGAAAACAGGAGTGAGTAAGCACAGCACTGGTTACTCCATATACAGTAATGCAGACAACAGTCTGCGGCTCACACCCCTACATCGGGGGAACGTTTAGGATGCTGTATCGATTTCTCTCTCCAGCACTACTGGTGAGAATGTAAAATAGTAGCCAAGCAAAACTAAGGTCTTAATCCTCTTGGTCAATGGAAAACGCCGCTGCTGCATGCAATATAGCCACTGTAAATTTCCATGAATCAATTCCAGTTAGGTGCCACAAGCTTCATAGAAAGAAACAAAGTTCTTGATTACATACTGACATCAACATACTGGGTGCTGATTTGGAAACAGGTCTTAAATTCAAAACTAAAAAGAGCATTACTCTGAGCCCTGATGTTATTTAGTGTGGTCTCTGCTTCGGTCTCTCTTGAATAGCTGCACTCTGCATAAATGAGAAACCTACAGCAGAAACTGTCAGCTTAAAGGGACTCAACATTTCAGCTAGGTACACATACCACCTAAAAAGATCAGAACTTCCTTAAAGAAAAAAAGAAAAAAGCAAATTCCCATCAACTTAGATGAGCATTTAAAAAGAAGAATCCCTAACGTTGCAGTAAATTAAAATATTAAACAAGCTCAATCGCTACACTGAAAACTGGCCCATCAGGTTCTTCCTTTAGGGTTTCTAAACATCAACTCCAAGAACAACTTCAGATAACACTTCAACATCTTAATACAATCCTAAAAATAACTCCAGACTTTTTACGTATGTTAAATTGGGCAGCAACTGGTTCACAGTATCTTCCATTAGCTCCCACATCATCATTATTATAAATGACTAACTCATCAGAAAGGTGACTGCTTTCACCAGTAAGCTGAGAAACGATCCATGCTATCCTGCAAATTCTTGTGATCTGATGGCAAGTCTAACATGAAATATTACCAAAGCCCCAAATCCCAAGGACTTGGGTAGGGAAAAGTTACCTCAAAAAAACCAACCAACCAACCAAACAAAAAACCAAACAAAACAAACCACACAAATCAAGTTTTATTCCTAGATTTTTTCATTGAGGGAAAGACAGACATGTAAACCATATCAAGTATTAGTGCTCATGCAAACCAAACCACCTGCCCCCAATTCAACTGCTGCCCCAAAACCCCAGAACCCAAGGATTCATTAAAAAACCCCCAAACAATTAAGGATAAAAAAAAGGCGGGGGGGAGAAGATTTCTGCATACATGTTTCAAACTGTCAGGGCAGCCACTGACATTACCAGCCTTTTTGCTCAGAAACGGAACGCAGCTGACACAAAGATCCGACTAATATGAATTTGAACTATGATAATATCCAAAATTAACAGCGCGCTAATTGAGTAGTAGGAAGAATGTAACACTGTTTCACAAACTTTTCCTATGTGCTCTGTATTTGTTGAACTGCTGCAGAAGCATTTTGAAGTCAGGAAAATATTTTTTTTACTGCTCTGGAGTTCCTGTTTAAACACCTTCAGTTCCACCGGGCAAGCTTCAATGATTGCTACAAGACCCACCCAGACACGGATCAAGTGCAAATCAGCATACTGAGGAAAGCAAAAGAACATTTTTCAACCATAACAAAAATGTATTAAAACAAATGTGCTAACAAATAGAAGAGGGCTTCTGCATGCTCCTAAAAGCTGTAAGAGATATATTCGAATCAGGAAGTTGTAGATAAGAAGTAATGACCTACCTGTGTGCCAGACATACTGTACCCAAACATACGTGCTGGCGGCAAAAAACAGCCATTGTATTGGTATGAAGAGCAGACATATTATATTTGATGTAAATGCTACGCAAACAAAAAATACTGAAAAGGCCTAAAAGAAAGGAGGGGTGGGGGAAAGAAGAGTGTTTTGGTTTATTCCAGCAAATATTACCAGTTTCTTTATTAATAGTGACACCACAATGATTTCAACATAGAAACACTAGTGTCGTTTATAATCAGGGCAAAGAAATGGAGCAGTCTAGCCAATGGAAGTAGAAACTTCGCCAATTAAGAGAGAACAGGTACAACTTGAGAATTTGTGCCCATCCACTCTTCCAGTAAGTCTCAGCTATATTTATTGCTTATTATTTTGTTTGAAGGCTTTCATTTACACTGTTGATATAGTATTATCATTACTATATTCTCCTTCTAGGGAAAACAAACAAACAACCAACCAGCAGCATCATTTATTCTCTGAAAGAGTAGTAAATATCTAAACAGGCACAGGCTTTATTTTAAGGAAAACCCTGTTATATAGGGATCTAAACTAATGCACCGATCTCAGGAATTCAAACAATACTTTCCTATGGTGAAAATTTGATAGCTATATATTTCACTTCCACTTGCCACAGATAAAGCAGGCAGTCGGAGAAGAGAGACACGAGTCCAGGTCCCCTAGTCACTTGAAAATTCCTCCTCTCGTGAAAACGATCAACAGCACCATTAAGTTAGTTGCAGAACATGGAACGTGCCCTGAAACACTGCAGGATTTCCCT